CCTACTGAACTACGTCAATCTTGGCCTGTTTGACAATAATGTGGGCCGACTGGACTGTAGCCCTTTTCGAATCTGTAGCCTCTCCCAAAAGAGAAAAAGAAAAAAGGGAGTTACACACCGGTCCTTTAAACTTGATTTAATTCTCATGAGGTCCTGACCTAAAATAATTTAGCACATCTTTCCCTTTTACCTTTGACGTTCAACCCACATGTAGAAATCGCTTAACTGTTCCACACACTCTCTCGCTCTCAACCAGCCACCGAAGACCACTTCCGACCTTTGATAATAGTTTTTTTTTGTCATTTTCCATTTTCACCATGTCAATACCGCCATGCTGGCAACAAGAGAAAAAGAAAAGAACAATGATGAATAAAATGAAGAAGGGGGATAAAGAGTCCATACTAGGAAAAAAATTCTTCACATTTGCAGATCAACACAAAGATTCAAAGACAAATCTAGTAAAAAAATTTATGATAGACACATTCAATAATAAATTTATCACTATCTGTTTGTTAAAAAAAAATTTAAAAAAAAGAAAGAAAATCTCGTCTTCATAATCACAAATCAACATAAGATTCAAAAGCATACTCAGTGATAAATTTATCACTAATTGTTTGTTAAAAAATTACATAAAGAAAATCTCATCATCATCGTCACCAATCAACACAAGATTCAAATAAATATATCAGTGGCACATTCATCATCGATACAGCAAATTTGGTTTAAGAGAAATAAAAAGAGAGAGAGGAAGTGAGGAAGAGGGAGGTGATAAATATAACATGAACAAAAATCAATGATAAATTTATCATTGTATTAATATCAAAATTCCAGCAGCAGTAGTCCACAAAATATTAAACAAATCAGTGATATATTTACCACTGAATTAAGTGATAAATTCATCAGATTAGTTCAACATGTTTTACAATTGTAGATCTTCAATAACACACTATAGAAAGAGCTCGATCTCATCGGCGACTATGTAAAGTACCAAATTGGCATTGAAAATGGTACATTGGCATTGAAAACAATTAGATTTGAAGCCATTGGTGAAGTTCAGAGTTGAAGATGGTGGATCGATGATTGAAGAAGAACGACGGTGATAGAAGATGAAGGATGAAGGAAGAGTGACGGTAATGAAAAAGAGGAAAGAATACGACGATGTTAGCCGAGCAAGTCAAACGGTTGAGAGATGGCGAAGTATAGATTGGCGACGATGGAGATGGTTAATTAGCAATGGTGGTGGCAGTGGCCAGCGAAGGCAGTGGTGGTGACCAGTGAAGGTGGCGGTAGTTAGTAACGGATGACGATGGTGGTTGCAGGTGGATGGCCATGGCCATAGCTACAATAGTGGCATTTTCTAGAGAGAGAGAGAGAGAAATGAGAAAGAAGAAGAGTCTTGGAAAATTGATCGGGAGAGAAGTTAATACAATTGAACAAATTAATGAGCAATAAATATTATAAATAATTAAAGATTTAGAAAGCGTTTGGGATGATTTAAATATAGATTTTTACCAGCTGGTAGCAGGGACAAAATCGGGATAAAAACACATAACAGACTTCCTGGTGCTTAAGATAAAAACTTAGAACCTAATAAGTAATAGATTCAATTATTGAGACCGGCTAGTAAAAATTCAAAGAAAAATGGTAACACAAATCAAACACTCATTTCACATGAGTTGAGTCTCCACAGTATATGGGTGTTTAAGAAGTTACTATTTTAGTTTTTAGCTAATGTAGTAGGCTAAAATTTGTGTTTGGAAATGTAGTTTGATTTTTTTTTTTTTTTTTGTAGTTGGATATGATGTTTGTAAAAGAAAAAATAAAATGATTATGGATTTGATATGATATTTTGTCTTATTAATTATTTTAGCACATATTATCATTTTGTAAATTTTAACTTAAAAATCCAAAAAATGGCCTTTGCCAAATACCTCATAAACCAGTTGATATTTTATGTTAAAATTTTGATGATAAAAAAGTGGAACTGATTCCGATTACTCTTCATTCATGAATAGAATAAAGTCAATTATTTTAAGATCTGTGATTGCGAAATATCACCTAAACATATAATCGCTTTAAATAAAAAAAGTATTTAAGCACATTTAAAAAATTGGAGCACTTATGTATAGATTTTAATAAGTGGGCTTATTAACTAATATGTCTTATGAAAAATATTTGTCATAAAAAAATGTCACTAATTTTAAGTTTTAGCAACAATTTATAAAAATCATGACCAAAAATCACTAGTTGTCAATTTTTAGTGACATATAAAAAATTGTCATAAAAAAATTATTTTTAGTAACAATTTTACCAAGACTTATTTTCAATAGGACTGGATGGAAATTAAGTCCAACTATTAAGACTTATAGGTAGTTTACCCTAAAAAAATCAAGGGTGTGTTTGGTAGAGTGCCCTAAAATTACTCTCATCCTTATATTCTAATACTATATTTGGTTTGAGTTTTCAAATCATGATTCCAAATCAATTTCAAAATGTATTTTGCAAACATGTTTGGTAAAACAAACAATTTTTGAATTTTTGGTCTACTCGGATATATGGTCGGTTGACCAGAATAGCACTTTTTTTTTTTATAGCAATTTCTAGTTGCCACCTGTTATTTGGGAGAAAAAATTATATTTGTTTTTTATTTTTTTTAAATATAGAAATTATTTTTTTAGATCAAAATGACAAACTATCTTTTTGAATTGAATTTTAAAAAAAGTTTTATTATGAATTTTGAATAGAATTTTCAATAAAGTTTTGAGTTACCTGTTTGGTTATGAGTTATAAATTTTTCAATTAAATTTTAAAAACTCTTTTTAAAAACTCTTTTTAAAACTCATAACCAAACAACTTTTCTCATTTCATATGTCACATTACAATTTCAAAACTCAATTCAAAACTATTTTTAAAACTCATAACCAAACAGATTTTATCTTTTCAAAACATAATTTCAAAACTCACAAACTTAAAATACAAGTCTATTCTCAAATCATAATTTTAAAATTCTATCAAACACTGTCCGAGAATTTCTTTCTTATCATGTAATTGAAAAATCTAAATTCCCAAATGAAGAACCAAAATTCTAAACAAAATTATTTTTATATAGTTTTCACTTGAAGGAAATACAATGATTCAAGACTATCACTATGCTATTAACAAAGATATAATACCATATACAATCTACTCTTCTTCTTCTTCTTATTCTTCATTTTCTTTTTATTTTTTTATTTTTTTATTTTTTGGATTGTGTCACAATTTTTCACCTCTAAGGCACAATTAAAAGCGTTTTATGTGTAATTAAAATTAAGTATAACATTACTTTATTAATAATTTTAATTCAGTATTATGATTGGTCAACAGAGTCAATGTGAGGTCTGAACCCAATAATCATCTGCAAAAATGAGTCCCGATCGTGAGTTGTCGGATCATCAGTAGAAGTCGGAAACATCAATAATTTGGTGGTTCCGAAAATCACCAAAAACGGACTCAAAAAGATTTTTTTATTTTTTTCTGGTTTCTGCGCGGGTTTCAGGACGTACTGATCAAACATTATTACTGGATGCTCAGATTTCTCTCACCAATCTTAACCCCACACACACTCCAAATGAAATGCAGTTATCATCCATATGTTCTGTAAGTCCAGAAACATTTATCAGCAAAACCAAATACTTCCATCATATTCAGACTCTCCTAGTCTTAGTTTGTTGGAAATGGCGCAGACAATTTAAATAAATAAAAATAAATAACAAAAAAAATTAATATAATAATATATATATTGTTTAAATAGTAAGAGCCCTCCTTTTCAAATTAGTCTTATGTATTTCTTTATATAAGTGCAGCCAAATATAATAGTTTAGACAATTTGAAATAAAAATGTATTCACTATTTGAAGTACATATGGCCTTAATTTGAATAATTTGAGCATTACACTGTCAATTTTGTTATTGCAATGTGATCTTTCCATTATATGTTGTTAACATTTAAATAGAAAAAATCATATGTAAAATTAGAGCAACAAAAATAAAATTTAAAACAAACTATAAGAATTACTAGTGTAATTAATATATTAAACTCACGTTCTCTATAGTTTGTTTTCAATTTCACTTTAGTCTTTTTTAATTTTGCATATAGTTTTTTTTTCTTCTTTCTAAATTTTAATGGTAAGTGATGAAGAGACCGCATTGTAATAAAACTAAAAAGATAATAACTAAATTATTAAAATTTAAAGTACGGTGACTAAAGTGATACCTAAATAATTGTATTTTTAATGTACATTTTTTTGGGGGCTCAAACTTTACTTTACTAATAACCCTCCAAACCGGGAAAAAAAATGGTGATTTGTACAATAATATTACTTATGTGTAAGATATTTTATTTTTTTTAAATTGTTAATAAGTTTAATATTGCATTTACTCGACACACCACAACAGTTATATGTTTATTTTTAAATGTTATACACATGAGTCAAATCACTACAGTATAATTTATCATATATTTTTTTATTAAACCAAACATAAAATTGGATATTTGAATGAGATAGTCATTTAGTCATTTCCTTTCGGCTACATTTCAGCGTGAAGTATATGAATAAGAGTAATTCTATTAACTAAAGTTTCTCTTCATAGATTTCTGTCCAAAATCAATTTGTGTAGTGTAAATTTAATTAAAAAAGTATGAGTCAATGTAAATTTGAACTATAAATTGTTATTTCAGACAGAAAATTTAGATAGAAATTCTGTGCGTAGTCTTTCTGTATAAATATATAGAGAAAAGTTAGAGATTATGAAAAAAATTGTATGAAAATAATCATAAAGAATTTATGATTCTTGAATTAGCTTGATTAGTGTGTGGTCCTTTATTTTAAGTGTAATCTAAGGGTTACAAAACTTTCATGATTATTTTTATGAAAGATTTTTCATGATATCTAACATTGCTGATATATATATATATATATATATAAAAAGGAACACGTAAACAGTAACTCAAGTTCACAAAAGTGACAAACCAGTGGAGTTGATGCATAACCAATCCACCCTTCTTGAACATGACAGTAAACAAATCGGACGGTGCATCTATGATCTATCATCATCAACATAACAACACCACTATCATCTTCCTCTGAGAAAGTATATGAAATAGACTACACAGAAAAGTAACACATATATGGTAGACTCAAAAGGGAAAAAAAGTTAAAGAACTAGTAAAGAAAAGCAACTAAAAACAACATAGAATTATCCCCATTTTCACTCCATCTATGTTAGACGGACAAGCTTTTTTCAACACCACAACAAGAACAAGAAGAAAAGAATTTGATGAAGAACCATATATATGTAGCCATTTCTATCATATATATTCATGATCATGATCTTGATGATCATCTTGTGAAGTCATGAACAAGGCTAGGCCTGTCTGTGACGTTGAGGCGCCAAGAAAGGAAGGGAATGCCGGTGTCGGAGTCGCGATCGTCGTCGATGAAACTGAATTCGTTGCCGGTGGTCGTGGTGGCCGGGGAGAAGCAAGGCATTTTCTGGGAATGTGAGTGTTGTTGGACCCATGAATTGTTCATCATGTGTTGAGGAGGCTCCATTACTCCTCCTCCTCCTGACCCAGCTCCGCCGTAAGTGGTGGTGCTGACGGTAGCTGCACTTGCCCTTCTCTCTTCCTTCTTGAATCGAATTCCACAAGCGTTGCAAAGCGACTGCAAATTCAAATTCATACACACGTTAGCTTAGCTTCCTCAAAAAATATATTTCTATCTATTATATCACATTGTGTGTGAACTCAATTTGCCTATAAATTCTGATTTCAAATTTTAAATTTTTTTTCTTTTTATTTTCCTTTAAATTTCTTTTTCCATTTACGACAGTCTCTTATTTCTGTACACGCATTATGTGTGCACTCAACTTCTAGTTGATATATTTACATGCTCATATTTGCATTTATAAATTTGTAGAAATCTTCTAAATGCGTATAATCTAATCACAAAATTAGACAAAACTCTGGACCCATCAAATGTCTGGCTCCACAGGTATTTCTAATTCTGTAATAAGATTATATGAAAAAATTGTAATTACATAGAAACCAATAACTTAACACAATTCTTTGTGTTAGTTTCTGCGATGGGATTTTGTGCACTAACTAAGAAGTGAAAAAATGAATAGACAAGTATGGACCTTAGGGCCTCTGGGACCGTTTCTCCAGAGGGGAGTAGAAGTGGTGTCGCAGTTAGCACAGCGGCGAGCAAGGAGGGGATCGCCGCCACCGCCGCCGGAGTTGTTGGTATTGCTTCCACGGCCGGCCTTGTGAGTTGGCGGCGGAGAAGCTGTGTGCTTGGATTGTTGTAAAATATCCCAACAAAAGTTGGACATGCGAGAACCAGAGCGACGGTCATGGTGGACTCGCTTTTCAGTCTCGTCGTTGTTGGTGAGTCTAGTGGATGGAGTTCCAAGTGAGAGAGTGCAATCCACAGAAGAACAAGAAGAAGAGGAGGATGGTGTGAATGAATACATTTCAGCTTCATCAAAGGGCCTGTGGTGGTTGAATAGCATTGAGAAGGAATTGCTTTGACTGTGAAACACACCACCACATGTACATGATCCCACCATGTTACAATGTGAACTACTGCACCTATACATCTTCTCACTCTCTCTCTCTCTCTCTATATATATATATATATTTGTGTGTGTGTGTGTGTGTGTGTGTGTGGCAATGTGTGGGTTGTTGTGAAAATGGTGAGGGAAGAAGAGAGGTAGAGCAATATGGAAAGAGAAATGGAGAGGGGTGGGGGGGATATAGCAATGGCAGGAGAGGAGAGGTTAGAGGTGAGGGGAGAGGGGGTACGAGTAAATAGTAAACTGAGAGCGATGTGTAATAATATAAGGTTTGAATAGAAAACCTTGAAGAGAGAGCTTTGAGTGTAGTACGAGAGGGTCTGAGATGAGCCTTGTCTGCTAGCTTTATAATAACCTACCAAAGTGTTTTTTTTTTTTTTTTTAAATTAAATGCTAATAAAATATCGAAATACCAGTCAGCACCTGCATTCCACGTTGTCGTTAAATGCCACATGTAGGTGCTTATATGTATACACGTATATATATATAATTATAGTAAGAGAGAGAGAAACAGAAAGAAAGAGAGGGACAGGGATATTAACATGTTGGCTGGTGAATGAGTGCGGTGGAGGAGAGTAGGCACCGTTTGGAAAGTGGTTTTGTAGATTTTTTTAGTTGTTTTAATTATAAAAGATAAAATAAGTTATTTTAATTATAATAAATAAAATATCACATTTAATTCATAATTATTACATTTTTTTTCACAAAAAAAAAAGTTAAAAAGATTAAAAAGTCCTTCACAAACCAAGTTTTTTAACCCAGACTAAAATAGTCAAAAAAATCAAAAAGTCAAAAAACTACTCACTTCCCAAACCAATCCCAAGACGAATGCATTTAGCTAGCTAATTTTTTGAGTTTTTATAAAATATTAAATTAAAAAACAAATAGAGAGATTTGATGATTTATAATATTTTTTTAATTTTTTAACTAAAATACATTATTTCCTAAATAGTGGTGTTAAATGTTTGATGGCCACGTATATTCTCTTAGATTTTTTTTTTAACTCAACACCCGGTTTATTAAACCGATTAATCTTGACATATTTTTATGCATACAAGAATCAGAGAATAGCGTGAAGATATTAGTAATAACAAGGAAAATGTAATTGCAAAATATTTATTTTAGTTTAATTTTGGCATATTTTTTTCTACAAAGGAGAATATCATAAATATGAGTATACCAGTAAGGATTGAAAAATCCTTACAGATTAAGTAAATTATCCAACGATTACATTGACGGTTCTTTTGTCTCAACAAAGAGGATTTCAAAATTGCCAAGTGTAACAAAAAAAAATTAAAAGAAAAATTAAGGAGACGGAGAAAAACGATTGAGTGAACAATCAAAGTAATAATTACTTACCTCTATTCCTATGCTTCAAAAAGGAAGTGCATAAAATGCTTCGAAATATAAATCTATGTTAGACTACTCCTAAAATAAGAAAAATGACAAGAAATATTGAAATCAATTGTCTTTGATTTGAATTCTGGATCCCTTACAATGTGGTCATGAATGACTATTTATAGGCAAATATTTGTAAGAAAAAGTTTCCAGCAATAACTATCCAACAACCACCTAAAACTACCCACTCTTTCATCTTCATTCCTACAATGGCACATATCTCGTCGTGTCCTCATAACTTCCTTTAACTTTCAATTCATGCTTCATGTTTTCTTTTTTATTCTCTATCATCTTTTCACATTTAATAACTTTACATAACCTCCAAATAAGTAGGAGAATGCCACATATCTTACAATTATATTAATAATAAATAATAATAAAAATTACAGATTTATGATGTTAACAATTTTCATCACATAAAATTTTCAATAATGTTAATAACACCCACAATCACGTCAATAAACAGTGTTAAGTGATTATCATGTTGCATGATTGCTTTGTAGTTAATATTTTTTACAACAATGCTATAGAGCTCTAAAAATAAAGCTCTAAAAAGAGCTCTACCGAGCTGGCATGTCTAAAAAAAAATAAATAAATAAAAATTCAAGTTAAAACATCACACTAAACTAGACCCCACACACACCGTGTCATTAGTGTATGTTTTAGAGCTCTTATCCTAGAGCTCTCAAGCATTTTTCTATTTTTTAATAGGACTTGTACTATCAAGTTCTCATCTCAATTCTAAAAAACGTTTGAGTTTAGTAGGTCTATTTCTTTCTAATTTTCATAATTTAAATTATTTATTTTTTAAGATTTATTAAATAAAATATTTATAATTTTTTTTTTAAAAAAATAAATAGACATTAGTAGCTATATATTTGAATCATATTTATTTTTTTTAAAAAATTGACAATAAATATAATTTCAATAATAGCCATTTATTTTTTATTATACAAATTTAATTAAAACATATAGTTATCGATATCCGTTCATCTTATTTTTTTCGTGAATATTCTACTCAACAATTTTTAAAAAGTGACCGGCTCAAACCACCAAAATTGATCTCAAAATAGACCCACTAAGCTCAAATATTTTTCCAAATTAAGATAATAAACCTAAGAAAAGCCTAATCAGTGTTTAATAATACTACAAAATTTAAGGTTGTGATTCCCTTTAGCGGACTTGAGAGTTCATTATCAATTTTACATTGAAATTTTTTTATTTTTTTATTATTGGGTAAATTACACGTATATTCTCTGATATTTGGACTTAATACATATCACTTGTTGACGTTTTAAAATTTACACTGACCTCTGTCATTTTAATTATTTAGACGGAATTAACTTTAGTATAAAAAAAATATTAAATTCATACACTCTAGATTTTCTTGCTTTGTTTTACTTAATCAATTTATTTTTTATTTCCTTTGCTTTGCTTTTTTTTTTTCAATGTAATTGTCTTTATTTTTCTACCGGGAGTTGCAAGCAAGGGATTGTGAAATGAGACTATTAATCACATGGATGATAATGTAATTTCTATAACGTCAAAGGGGTGGAATGTAATCAGACCAAACTTTAGTAGGGTGTCAATGTAATTTACTCTTTATTTTTTTTAAGTAAACATTGACAATTCAATCTACTTATTTTGTAAGTTTTTATATTTAATTATTTTTACAATATTTAGATTAAATAGTTAATCATAACTACAGCTATTAATATTTTTTATGGATATATTTTATTTTGTATCTTTACAAGTAGTATCTAAAATTTACCTAGATTTAACTCTTGTGTAATGAAACATATAACGAAGGTCACGTTTGTTTGGCAAATTAGATTAAATAGAAATTGTTAGTGAATGAATGGTTAGTGAAGAGATTGTTAATGTGTGGATTGTTAGACCATCTCCAACGTTTCATCAGATTGAACACTAGATTCAAATTTGATAAAAAAAAGACAACTTTTCTCTCTTCAACGGTTTCACTAAACTGATATCAAATTGAGAATTGAGCAAAACTTTCACCAAACTGAAGATCTGGGAAGCGTTCATCAATTTACTGTGTGTAGACATTGGACTGGAACCCACTAGACGATCGGCCGGAGCTGGTCATCCAATTAACTGCTCAAATTGAAGAGGAAACAGCCAGATTCGAAAGGGTTACACTCAGTTCTTTAGCAATGAATGTCCTCATGCTCCTCTATACTCACCACCAATCTTTTTGCTCTCTACGTCTTCACATCACCCCCAAAGAACCAGACACTAATTCACCATGCTCACAAAAGCATCTCTCTCATCTCAGAGATGATGGCTTCTATGGGCCATTCCTGTGAGAAATCGATGGATTTGTTGTCTCAATACATGAATTACAGAGTCAGTGGAGGTGCTTTGCCAAGTCTATTTCCAAGGTGGGTCTGTACTCTTTTCCAATTTTTGTTTGGAAGAAACAGAAGAAAACCTTGAAAAAATTGAAATGGAAAGGGGAACTTTTTTTTTCATGAAATACTCTTGCCGGTCGACCGGCCGATTGACTAGCCGGTCGTCCATCCGGACATGCGGTGTTTTGATGAAAGCACCGTTGGACTGTCTGATATTAGATTGAGAAAATCGTTTTTTTTTTTACTCAGATTTGATGAAAAAAATAGTGAACCATTGGAAATACTCTTAATGAGGAGATTAAGGAGTTTGTTTTGATGATATAATGTGGGAGATGATTATTGATGAGATTGTTAAATTATTTTTATAAAAAATCTTTAAAAAAATATTTATATATTAAAAAAATGTCTAAAACAATTATAAAATTTTCTTTTTTAAAATAACAAGTTGCAATTGCAAAAATATATATATATACACTATTCCAGACGTCCGGCAGACGACTGGATAGATTCAATCCGCTTGCTATTTTCCTAATCCCACGCTTTACCCAGCTAAGCTAATCTCCTTACTGAGGAGGATTATTAAGCCGCTCACACTATCAAGCTATGAGTGGGACCCACAGCTATTCTAGTTCAATCTGTCCACTGAAACGGCAAAACAAACATGACCTAAGTGAATTAAATTTTTTAGTTAAACATATTTGTAAAAATTGTAAATATGTGATATTATTGAATAAGAGTGTGGGTTGAAGCAGTGTTGGTTGAAAACGAGTGTGGGTTGAGGCGGGCAATGGAGAAAAAAAAATTAAAGTATAAATTCAATCATAAAATTAAATAAAATTTATAAAGTTAAACAAAATTTTAAAATTCACATTTGAGAGTATTGTTTTAATTTTGTGAATAATTTTTGTATACATCTAAGGCTTGGTTTAGGAATAAGTTATTTTAGTAATTTTTTAATTTTTTACAAAAAGGTATATAAAAAAAAACTAATAATATGACAACTTATAATAATTATTTAACTTTTTAATTAAAATTTTAAGTTAACCTAAGACCATAACTTTGCCCTAATATGTTATCTAATTCTTCAAACTCCAGGTGTGACAATGGATAGTGATTATTATATTTTTAAATTTACCTTGTTTGGCATGCTAATATTTTATTTAAAAAGTCAAAAAGTTATAAAAAAAAATTAAAAGTTCTATAATTCATATCAAAAAGTCAAAAAAAAAATTTCTATTTTTTTTACATTTTTTTCAAAAAAAAATTAAAAAATTATTCTAAATATATAGTTTTTTTACTTCATATTTTAATTAAAAAATTTAAAAATTATTAAAATAACATATTTTCAAATGAGGGCTTAGAGTAGGTAGGTGTTTGGGAAGAACTAAAAAAGTATATTTTTTTAATATACATATATTTATTTGGGTCACATTAATTAACATCTATTAATATATTTTTTTTAATATTTTCTCGATTTTTTTGCATAATTTTTTTTATAAAAAATTAAAAAGTATATTTATTTAGAATATTTCAACCCACTCTTA